TAATTGTAAGGCATATGTACACAACAATTGGTGACTAAGTTTGTAGCAATATTTTTTAAAACCCTAATGGAAATTTGGATAAAAATACTTGTGAGAGGAACATTGGTGTAAAATACACACACACACGGAATTAAATGATACTGTTGATAACAATAAAGCTCAGTTTACTAAGTGTTTGGCTGTGGTAAAATGAGCAAAAGAGTTCTTAGTTATACTTAAAGGAACTCACTTCCCAAAATGTTTAAATGTTCAGCTCTTGGTTGATTTAACATCTATCCAAGACAAATCCATCAGGACGTGGTTTTCATTGTCTATTAATATTCTAGTGCAGGGGGTGGTGGGGGTGTCTATCAGTCATGTATGAGAAAACAACCAATGCTGCCAGAACTTCATGAAAGTATACTTCGTTTGTCATTAACTCACCACTGGAAGGGATAAAATCCAATTCACTATTCATCATGGAAACGAGGCTATCTTTTACTAACGCATTACTTGTGATGAAATATATAATTTGTTTGGTGATACTCACAAGAATAATACATCAACAACCCATTCTCAGGTGAACCAAAAGATACTAAAAAATAAAATTTAATGCACTACCATTAATATTATGCTCAAAAAGTCAGAAGCAAAAATGTTTTCTATGTTCTTTTAATATTATGCCTAATCGATCTACATTTAGAAGCATACAGAATTAGTTTTGGTCTTTGCCACACACACAAAAAGAGAGATACAAGTATTTGTCTCTCATTCTTTTATGCCTTAAGTTTTTGAAATTATTATTGCACAACTGGTGGTTTGGCATGGAGCAAATTTTCAAGCCACCTGAATAATGAAGTAAATTAAATATGAACGTCTCTTAAGGTTACCAATTAAATCAGACACAAGGAAACCAACCAGAAACTTCAAGGTGGCCATGTGGTAGGTTGAAACATGGGAATAATGCATGAAGAACTCATAACAATAATAATAATAATTAACAAAAGTAATCTGACTTGTAAGTTGTACTGTTGTAGAGCTTTTCAGCAAAGCCATTTCTTGGGGTAACTATCATAATAAAAACATATTAAACAAAACATTCAGACAGAACCCATCATTTCACGTATCCAGTTTTTTTGGTTAGACAAAGTGTGATGTCTAACACAACTGTCCTTTTAAGCCCCAAGACTAAAATAAGTAATACTAATAGGTTTAAGCTTTGAAATCCTAAACAGGTGAAAACTTTTTCTTAGTCAAGAAAAAAAAGAACTTATGTTAATGTTATAAAACTACTTAGTTTGTTAGATGATCCAATTTGTATTATTAGTTTAAATTACTGTTGGTTAGTTGTAAAGGAGTTAAAGTTCATTATTAAATTTATTATACGAGGGATGGCCTCAAAAGATCGAATGGTTTTCTGTCACACTAGTTTTTAACATTTCATAATATCGATAAGCATTAGGCCTAATATTAATAGTGGTACTCGGGGGTGATATTCTACCGATACAGACCGGTACCGAGTACAGAAAGTTATTTTTTAATGTAGTACTTGAGATTAGCACTTTAAGAATTAATAGAACTAAAAATTCATAGTTCAGTTAAAGGATAGAAAAAATAATAAGGAAACGGTAAATAAAAACATAAAATAAAATTTGCTATCTCGTAAGTTCTTGTATAATTATTTGGAGTTTATATGTCATTTGTTTTTCTAACTTTATTAGGAAAATGAGACGCTATTTATATTACAGGTATTTGAATCAGCCACCATCAGATGTCAGCACAATCTTTTAATGTTAACTGAACAAGCGCGCATACGCACTCATAAGGTGTAATGATGGATGAACCGACGGAGGGAGAGAATTTGATTAAAAGATTTTTAAGAGATTTTAAACATGAAAGTTCTCCGGGATCTGATGAAGGTGTTCATCATCGAGTTGGATTTATTGGAAGTTATCGCCTTACTTCAGAAGATGTCGAAGGAGAAGTGTTTGATTGGGTAATGCAGTACTTGGAACAAAAGTAAGTCACTTCGGCTAGTGTTACAGTGCTTGAAATATCGCCGGCAAATGCAGTGTTTGAACTTTGAACTTGAAGTAATACTAATAATGTGTATGTGCATTAAAATTTGTCGAATTTAATGTGTTACAGCTTACGGTAATGTTGTACGCCAGGAGTGAAATCCTCAAAAACAAGGAGAAAAAAGTAGAAGTACTCAGCTGGGTGAAATGGAAATGTTTTTGAAAAAGAAGTCTGTGTGTAACTGTAAACATGAAAAACGACAAAACAGCTCAAATAAGTCCCAGTAGTCCCCCAAGCTAGAGCACGTTGAAACTGAGTGTGTTTGTATTATGAAACTTGCACAAGCTTCCCCTAGCGGTGACGTACAGATGTTAATTTTGTGAAATATTATGTAAATCAGTTAATCACATGAGACGTAACCTAGAGGTCTAACCAAATAAAACCTTGCCTTGAGCTTAAACAAGTTAGTTGTCGAGATAAAGTTAAAACAAATTATTGTTAATTGTCTAATTTGGGATTTTTTTCGGAATTAGGTTTTTCTTCTTTTGATTCTTAACTCCTTTATTTATTGAAACAATTAATTGGTATTTATGTTGTATTGTTCATTAACGTCAGTATCAAATCCTGGCCAGGCACGTATTTATTCACTGTTTTCTTTTTTATTGTTGTTGTTTTGTAAGTGATAAAACTTGTATTCCAATCGTTCGGAAAGTTTTATTTTGGATTTATGTGGTTGTTAAAATTTAATAAATTATTTTTTGTTCGACCCTAGTTGTAGAGGCATTTTGTTTTAGTCTGTTACAAACTTTTATTTTAACCGACATTTCGCCTTTGCGTCTTCTTCAGAGCTTATATATAAAACTGTTTAGAAATGAATAAAAACCCTATAACCCGAGCGCTTTTGAAAGGTGGACCTTTCTTCTTCATGGGCAAACATAAAACTGTTTGATATTACTAGCACTAAAGGTGAAACGTCGGTTAAAATAAAATTTATATTATAATTATCTTGAATATATAGGTCTTTGTTTTCTAACTTTGTTATTAAAATGTGCAAATCCCTCCAGTATGCACAACAAATTCTGAAAGACAATAAAATAGTGTCTCAACCATTGCTTTTTCTGTCTTATCCCAGCCGGCCATATGAGCTCTGGCAGAATAGATATTATCTACTATAGAGAAAAAAAAAAAAAAGAAATAGTGCAAATGGAGCAAGGCAGTGTCAATGACTTTCTGAACCATGTGTTTATGCTAAAACTGCATACAAACTAAACGAAAGAAAAAACATTAAAATTCCTATATAACTATATAGCGAGTTGAAAACATGTTGCATGTTTTAATATCATAATATATCGAGGTTATAGTCTTAATTATGTTGTTTGAGAATAACCAGTTACGTGATAAGCTCTAATCATTTTAGGTAAATCCTAAGTTTTCTGTCAATTTGTTTGTTTGTTTTGTCATTAAGCACAAAGCTACACAATAGGCTATCTGTGCTCTGCCCACCACGAGTATCGAAACCCCGGTTCTAGCGTTGTAAGTCCGCAGACATACCGCTGTGCCACAAGGGGGCTATATTTGATCGATCCTCTCGTTATAAAGTGGATCGATTTAATACTATTGCCAAAATCAGTTTCACCTGGAAATACTACAAATGCATATAATATTCAAGTCAGGCGTGGCCCAGTGGTTAGCATGCTGGGCTGGAAATGAGATGATCAATGGTTAAAGCCCACGATACACACATTAGAACCTAAGACTTGGTTGTTTAGTCCATAGGTTACACATGATGCCATTTATGTTCAAAATAACGTCCTGCTCCCCAGTGACTCAACAGTAACTCTGAAGGCTTATAACGCACTCTAAAACCGGGTTTCATTACCCATGATGGGTGCAGCATAGATAGCCCATTGTATATCTTTGTGCTTAACAAAAACATACAAACAAACATGACGTCCTAACACTTATCTAGCTCAAATTCGCATTTATACGTTCTAAAAAAAAGAGAGAAAAATGAGGAAGGTCAAAGTATAAAACAAATAAATTCTACCCCCTCCCCAGTCGCACAGTGGTATGTCTGCAGAGTTACAGTGCTAGAAACCGGGTTTCGATATCCGTGGTTGGCAAAGCACAGATGGCCCATTGTGTAGCTTTGTGCTTAATTACAAACAAGAAATACATTCTCTAAATCATATTTCTTCCCTTTACTATTTCATGGATAACACTGAGGGAGAGCTTTCGTAATTTACTAATTGCCTTTCACCTTTTTTAATTTCGAAAAACACACTTTTAGAAAATGAAGTTTGGGTACGGCTTGAATTTGTAGTGAAGGACACTATATAACAAATGCATACATAATGTTTCGACAAGCTTATTATGACATAAGTTTGTCGAAACGGTGTACGTTTGTAATAAAGTGTCTTTAAATACCCATCCAAGCTGTATCCAAACTTTAAATCGGAGTTTAGTTCCCCGAGGTGGACATAGAACAGGTAGCTCTCATTTTGTAACTTTGGGCTAAAACCAACAATAACAAGTTTCCATAAAAAAAAAGACTGCATTTCTTAACTTGAAAGACACTGGATTTAGTTTTCTTGTTCCTCGGTAACTCAGTGGTAAACGTATGGACTTACAACGCTAAAATCTGGAGTTCATTTCCCTGAGAGTAGTTAGAGTACAGAAAGCTTATTGTGTAGCTTTACACTAAAACAACAGCAAAGGCTCATTTTCATCTAGTCACAATAAAAAAGCATTTTATAATAATGAACATAACAGTGTATTTCTGTATTTAACGTGTACATACTTATTGAAATGTAGTGTAAAATCGATAGTCAGAAATGCCTGTCAAAATACATGTACAAACAATCTGGTGCATTCAATATTCAAAACAAAACAGATTAATTTTATTTTTACTGTGTCATGTATGTTCTAACTAAACCTTTTCATATTATAAATACTTTGCAAATTATTATTTTTTATTACAATAATCATAGCGCTCCCTATGAAGCATTATATATCCACAAAAAGTGTAGTTCTCTGGTACAAGCTGTGGTAATTTAAATTAGGTTTCTTCGGTGAAGAGGGATATATATATCAAGCTGTTAAAAAGAAAGTGAGAGAAGTGGATATACCACATTTTCACGCATTTTAGTTAACAACTATTATAGAAAGGTTTAAACTTAGACCAATTATTCAACTAATTTGTAGAACGTCATGATGCATTCAGAGTGTGAGGAAGGGTAAGTTAGTTTAGTTACTTAGTTAGGGTCTTTTTTATTACTGTTATTTGCTGAAAATTTAATGCAACTGCAAGAGTAAGGAATTAGACTTTAACGTTAAGACATTTAAAACTAAATAACAATCGAAGAAATCTGAAAATCTGAGCGTATCCGAAAGATGTATTCTTATTCAAATTATTGAATATTTTATTTACACGCAAAAGCATAGGTGTTCAGCGCTGGCCAAAGTACATGTATTTCCCTTTATTTGTGAGTTCCATTGCAGCACGTTTGGCAGTCCATAGACCTTTATTTTTTAACTCTAGGAACCAAATATAGATAATTTTCCAATAATTTTTCTAGCATTGATTTTAAATTCAATTTAACTTAAAAGAATGTTCTTTCCACATGCCACCTCACAGGTCAGCTGTAAGTCTGAGGGTGTACAATGCTAAAAATTGGGTTTCAGTACTTGTAGTGAGTATAGCACAGATAACCCTTTGTTTTGTATAGCTTTGTGTTGAACAACATAAATACTTTCATGTTTGCACCCCTTTCCCTCCAGTTGACCAGTGTGACCTTTGTTCCATGTTTTTCTGTTCTCTCAGTGTCCATGCTCTTTCACTCGTATTACCAGGTTACCCAAGGGCTGTTGCTTACTAATGAGTTCGTTCAATTTCTAGTTGAATGATATGCTTCTGTGGCTTATAGGCTGTTATCAAATGTTACTTAAAGGTTCCACCCATGTTCTGTGGTTGAAACCTGTCTCCAATCTAGTGATGAGTAGTCTATCAGAAGTATGATCCTGTCATGATCTTCAGTGTTAATAGACAGTTGCATCCTTGTATTCCTCACATTTTATTCTGAATGATGTGAATTGCTCAGTTTTAGCTGCTGACCATTCAAACATTAGATGTCCACCTCTCCATATGGCTCATGCCCATTTGGTCGTATCTTTCCTGACTGGGCTATTTAACTTATTTATCCGTCCAGGACTTCTGTTGTGTTGAGTAGTCCTAAGGTTTCTCTCCACATCCTGCTGCCACTTTTCACTGTGTTGAACATATTGCCATCTGCCTGGACCTTCTCAATAGTCTTGATGTTTTCCAGTGGAAATACCTCTTTTTTACATCTTTCTCGGTCTCACTAGCACGTGACTTGACCAATATCAATTTGTACTACTGCTTATTCTGCACCTTCTCTCAAGTGTGGGTATGATTGGTGTTATATAGTTGGGTTGCTATGAGTAGTGCATATCTGGCTAGAAACCTCTCTTGTAGTAATGCTGTTCAAATGAAGCCAATGTGCAGTATGTTGTTTGGCTGCTACTGTTTCTATTCTGACAGCTGAATTCTGCACCCTCTGTTACTTGGTTGTTGCTGACTTTTCTGCTGATGCACACAATTTGTTTTCTAACTGTATTTTGGTCATAACTGCTGTTCTAATCAGGTTGTTGAGGGTCCTTTGCTGCACTTTCTGCAGTCCATCAGAAAAATGACAGTTTTTGTGAGAAATCCTTCTGTGTGTATGTATATCAGCATGAATGGAGAGACATGCTATTCAACATACAGCAAGCTTTATCTGGTTAGTTAGAAATTTTATTATCCTCAGCCCACTGGTAGAGGCTTTTGATGGCTTCTTGCTGACCTTCCACTGTTTCCATTGGTGTTTGTGATGCTTGTAACAGTTATATAGTCAGCATGTGTGTATGTTTTGGTACTGAATCTTTTAATTTTTGAAATTGAATTATAATGTGTAAGTTCTATTTTTTAGTTATTGTATTTGCCAATTTTTTATAGTTATAAGTTTTAATTCTAGTAACCCTTCTCTGAACAATTCAGTGTCCTTCCTCAGGTGAGGAGACCAACACTGAACACAATATTCCAAATGTGGCCTAACCAGTGACCTGTACAATGAAATTATAA